TTTTTTTATCAGAATAAATTAAAGATTGATTTAAATAAAGAGCGCATTCAGAGCTAAAATATTTAAAAAATCTTAATATAGACAAAAAAACAAAGTACAAACCAATTTTTCTAAGTTTATCGAAATTCTGAAATCGACGAACTATGTTAATAAAGTATGCAACTTGATCTTCAGTTGGAGTCTCTTCGTTTCCTTTGCAATTGATTTTCATGTATTTCCAATTCCTTACTTCTACTTCTTTCTGATTATAATATCGACGAGTTTTCGTGAGGTCTACTACCATCCCAAGCTGATACTACAGTGTAGGTAGAAAAATAAGGATATTACCGATTCTGTATAAGAAGCCAAGGTCTCAACGTCAAATATTTGGCTTTCATCCAGAAATCTTACGTAGCTATCATTCAATGGAGTTTTAAAAGGAATGAATGTGTCAAGAATCATATCTCCTATAGGGGGACAATTTATCCATCTCGGAGGAATCATAGATACTAGAAAAGACCATGTAAATAATGGATAAAATACCTTTAGAGTAGAAAACTAGCTAAAAAAATAGGCGTATAAATTTATTTTGAGAAATCAATAATTGGCTATGGACAATGAAGGAAAAATACAACAAGGAGTATATGCATAAATTAGGCAAAGCTAACGAAATCATACATTCCGCCCTTAGAGTAACTATATAAAAACAACTTAAAGTAATAAAATTAATTTATAAACTGTTTATTAATATTAAAATATCATTAAATTCAGGTTAAGCTTTTATCACATACTTGTTTGCCTATACTTACATATCCTAATACTCTTTTTTTATTTAATTATTAAATTATTCCCATATTTATTTGATCTTTCAGCAAAAATATTTTTTAGAAGTTACATGACGATTTTTCCAGATGATGTATTTAGCAAAGGTAATTAGATCACAATATATTATCGATGTAGTCTTAGTGTTGAATTCGTCTTGTCCGAAATTATCTGCAAGAAATGTTATCATTATTCCTAGCGTTAGACCGTGGGCGTGGTACATTCCTAGACGCTTTGTCAACATCGTATTTGCTATCAATAATGATTCTTTCTAGTCTCAGCGCAAGGCAACATCTTGTTAAAGTGACGAATAAAGTCGATACTTTAATCAAATTATGTCTTCGTACATTATATACTCCATAACCTCTTATCTCACTCCGCCATATCACAACTTTTGACGTGATTATATTACATTACTCAACAGGTGAGTTATTTTTATGAATTATTGTGACGTCACCACACTTGTTGTTCATCTTCCCCTCATCCCTCCCTCTTAATTTACTTATATGACTAGGGCATCCTATCCGGAT